AAAAATCTAAATAGTTAGACGCATTTAATTGTTTTTGATTGAATCAAGTTGATAGTGTACAACTAATAACGAAATCAAGATGATACTAATAATGAAAAAATAATTTTTCAACTAATAAAAAATAGTGAAACTGATAAATAAGTTTTTATAAAAGCTCAAACATGAAAAGAAATTCTTAGTTAAAAACAACTTATAAACTTAATTTCTACTTTATTAATTTATTGACTTGAATTAATTTCATGCATCATTAATTTTTATTGCTTATTAAACAGGCATCATCAATTTTAATTAACTCAGGTTAGAACTAAATAAATGAATAATGTTAAATTTTATTCTTATAAATAATAATTTTTACTGTAGTTATTTTTATATTTTCAAACTTTAATGGATTTGTAGAATAAAATTTTGTGTTTAGAGACGTATAGGTATTATTTACATGTATTTCTGAATAAAATTCTAACTAAAAGTTAAGATCAAAATAAGTATTATAAATTTGTAATTATTACACAAACCTGTTTGAAATTGTTCATAATTTTTTTTTAGTTTTACCAGCAACTAAGTTATGAACTTTATACGGAGTGGTAATAAATAATAAATATATTAGTCCTCCATTCAAATCTTAAGATTGTTAAAACCAAACCATCTGATCACAAAATTTTATTTCAAAGATCAATATATGTTTGTGTATTCTTATTTTATAAACTTTAATATTTCATAAAAAAATTTTTAAAGCTAAAACTATGATCATTTTTGCCTTTTTTTTTTTACCACTACAAGTTTGTTTGTACTAAGTATACTTGATGCGTATTAGTATACATATAAGTATACTTGATACATATTTAGCAAAAGTAAACAAAAAATGCATTATAAATTTATATCATAAATATAATAATAATAATTACTATTATTATTATTAATATTATTACTATTATTATTATTATTATTATTAATATTATTATTATTGTTATTATCATTATTACTGTTATTCTTATTATGTTAAAACATTTAATATTGAAATGTAAATCTTTTAAAAGCAATGATATTAAGTTATAAATATTTATTTTTCATTGTTGGTAATGTGGCAGACCTAATTGTTAATTTTTGTCTAATTTAATTTAATATCTAAAATACATGATAAAATACACGATTAGGAAAAGTCAAAAGAAAAGATTAATTTTGATTTAAATCTTATGAAAAAAGTACTTTCTCCTTCTAAAAGGTAAAAAATTTTCAAAATAAGGAATTTTTATTTTTTTATTAGTATCGAAGTTAATATCAAACTATTAATTTAAAAAAGTGCTAAAACATGCATCAAAGGACTAGACCGAGCAGTCAAGCCTTAAAAAATTAGGAAGAGAAAAAGGATAAAAAAATTAAAAATATATATTGAATTGATGTTCAGAACAAAACAAAGACACTATAATAAGATGTGTAGTAAAAAATAATAATGATAATTTAGACACCATGCATGTAACAGAAATGTAACAAAAACATAACAAGACACACAAGTAAACAAATCATCAGTAAATAAAAAAGTTTAACATACTTAAAACAAAAGTATATATGATAAGGTATATCAATATTTAAAATAAATAAATATAAAATGATAGAAGGTATAAGATTAAGAAAAAACATTATTGTTTTTGTGTAATCATAATTTATGTAGTGGTGGTAATAAACTTTGCCTCAGAATCTTATTTATTATTAATAATAAATTAGATGGTCTTCTCATTATGAGTCATTTCATGCGGTTAAAGTTAGCTATCAAAAAATACTCAATACAATAATATATATTTGATGGGATTCTGTTGAGAAGTTTCGAAGAGGCTCAACACCAATACCTAGTTTATCCCATAATTAAAGATAAACTTCTTCATCAATTATGCTTTACCCCGCGATTTACGCCTACTCCATAAACATTGTGTAGAATACAGTAAGACAAATAGTTTAGAGTATATATATATCTCACCTGATAGGTAGAGATAACTCCTTACTGAAAATAGTTTTAGATAATAACAAATTGATAAATTGATAACTTAAGATAGCCAGCTAATTCACAATGTAATTAATGTATACACCAAAAAATGAAAAATAACTCAATATGCAGAATACTATATAAGAGTGGATCAAAACAGGTCATAGATGTGTTATCAATCAAAGGGTCTCTAGCGGACTGAAAAATAGAGTTAAAAAATAAAGATTGCTTACATAATAACCATAAGAACACTATTGAAGACTGTATAATGCAAAACCAAAACAAACTGACATTTCAACGTCAGATAAAATTCCTTAGGATCTAACATATCTAACAATATTGCACTTGGATACAAAAAGATAAAATTCCTCCATCAGATAAATTTCCCTAGTATCTAACAAATTTAACAATATTGTACTTGGATACAAAAAGTACAACAGAAATTCAAGGTGTAAGCTTATAGAGTGACTAAAAAATAACAAAAATAAAAAAAGGTTATTTAATTATGGCTAACCTACTACTTAAAAGATGGTAAATGTAAACTGGGTCTGTCTTATACAGATCGCATGCTAAATGTTATCTATTTCTGCCTTATTTTGGGGTGTTCTGTATGTAGAAAGTATATTGTCTTGATTGATTGATGTTGTCCTTGTGTGGTTAGTATGTATTTTTATAAGATAGAGAATGCATTTATTGTGATATTCTATTATTTATTCTAGATAAAATATGAGTAAATAATTTTGTTTTTCTTTTCTTCAAGACTTTTTCATTCATGTGGACAAGAATCCATGTTTAAATATCTCATTGAATTGACATAGATGTCAAAATAGAACCATATATGTGAATAGTTCTCTATGTTTATAGCCAGTCTAGTTAGTACATTCTTTTGTTATATTTTGCGTGGTTTTTTCTAAGGCCAGAAATTAAAAATTTGAATATTAAATATGGAGAGCATCTGTTACCAATAAAAAAAATTGTCAATTTAAATGTTTTAGTGTCGGTTGTAGTTTTGTTCAAAAAAA